TGGGGTTTGCAGAAACATCTTCGATTATATATACTTAGATCTTCGCATAAGGGCAAATAGTTTAAAACATTCTTAGCCTGAAAAGGCTCGCGGTTCAGGCTTAATGAGTAATCTTTTTTGAAGGAGTTGATTGTAGTCTTAGATTGTTGTGTGGATAATAGGGCATTGTTCTTTATTTCAATGATAACTGTAGGGAAACTTTCCTCAGCGGGCAGGTTATCTACATTAACTGGGGTTGATAATGCACCAGATGGGTGATTTATTTTAGTTGATCCATCGTGTTGGGGATTTACATTGTCAGGACTGTTAAAGGACTTCTTATCTTGTAAAGATGGCTTTGAGGGACTTGAAAAGGTTATGGAAGCCGAGTCTTTAATCATCATTTTCTCCTCTAGGTCGGTAATGCGTGACTTTAAATTCAAATTCTCGTTTCCTAATCGGCACACCTCTTGTTTATTTGTGTTAATAATATGATTTTGTTCAGACACTTTAGTCAACAATTTTTCTATTTGCGATTCTATTTTTTCTTTAAATGTAAGGAGTTGTGCCTCGGCTATAGTCGGGATATCATCAGCTCGTTGTTGAAATGGTGTAGAAAAGCTGGCTGTCTGAGCAAAATTCGGCGTGGCTGCGACATTCGCAATATAATATGCGCTATCAATGAAGTCCTCAAGTTCTTCGAGTGACGAAGTGTCAGCAATCGATTCAAACTCCATATCTTTGGCTTGAGTATTGTACGAACAATTGTGAGTTAAAGGGGCCATGTCCTCGAACACACGGCCATTACCAACGATATGTTCGCCTTCGACCGACATTTTTGTAGTTGTTTGGATTAAACTATCCGAGGTCGTATTTGTTTGCTTAATAACGCAATTTGTGTCTAATACGCTCACTAGAAATTCCTTGAAAGATTTGCCTTTCTTTCCATTGAAAGTCAAAGAGTTTTGTTTGCCTGGGTACCAAGTCATAATAAAATCAGAGCTTAAGTTTATAAACTGTTTGGCTTTACCGCCAGGCGACGTCCATTTACCCGTTAATCCGACAACATTTTCGGCAAAAGTCCTTAACGAACAGAGGTCGTTTGTCCATTTGAGACGGATCCCATCATAAACTAGATGACCTTGATTGTTTAACAACTTTATGGAGTTCATATCAATAGTTTCAGGACTAAAAGTTTCAAGTTTAGTTGAGGCCATAATTAAACTATCCGCCGCCATGTTGTTTTCACTGACATAGACTTTCATCATAGTAGTTAGCCTTCCAGTTTATTTAAACCATCGTAGTTTTATTTAAACCTGTTGCTGGAGCTTCGTAAAGACAATGCTATTTCCAGTCTTTCGAATACAAGCAGTAAATGCGCGAACGTTTGACCGCGGTGCTGACTGAAAGCACTCTCATCGCATTTAACTGAATCGAAACGATATTCAGGTACACGCAAAAAAACTGACATCTTGTTGCCAAATTGTTACAACTTGTTGGTTTGCAGAACCGTATAGCAGGTTGTTGAAACAACTTGTACCAAGCTGCTTGTTGACAACATTAACCTTGCAACGTCTCTATCAGTCACCACATCCTTGCTTACAAGATGCGGCAACATGTTAAAAACGTCTGTCACAAAAACTGGGAACCAATAGTGCAAACACATCCTAATGACACGTTTTTGGTGCAGATTTTGCTAACATTCCTCTACAAATTTGTTACCGCCTACACACTCATCTACTCGTGGCCATAACAATCTCATTGACCTGGTTCTCACTATACGAATGAACATTTGACTGACAACTTTACACTCGGACCATAAAGCTATTATATATCTTGACTTAAAATTGCATCAACGACCAAAACAATCCACCGAGCGAATAGTTTTTAACAGTTCTCTTCAAGTTATCACTTCAGCACGGTGTATTTTCTTCTGAATGGACCGGAGATCTGCTAATGTGGTTCCAATACTTAAGAAAGATGACGCTCATGAAGTCACCAACTACAGACCTGTTTTCATTACTCTCCCAAGTCTCAAAAGTACTTGAACGCTTGATTTTTAGACAGGTTTCTTCTTTCATTAAGGACACTTTGTATGACATTCAACATGGCTTTCGCTGCAATAGATCATGTGCACTGATCTGTACTAAGACTGGATAACGCATCTATAGTATACAGAAGTGAAGCCGGAAGTTACCGGCCGCCACCCGATTCAAGGGTCCCACTTTTGTATAGATTTGTATCTCTGGATTTGTATTACAGATAGTAGTTTTTCGCGTTTTTTGCCTTGGCTACGTTTCGGAGCGGGCCAATTTTACAATCACAATAAAAGAAGCATACAAGGAGAATTTTGAGCAAAAAATTTGGAGTATTATGGCTTTATAACGCCGGGAAACGGGATTTAATTACAACTTTGAAGGAGTGGAGAGCCTCAGACTTTGTTTATCAACACGAGCTCGTTTCGCTACTTTCATACAAAATCAACTCAAATATACAAGAATTACTGTTACTGGACGAATATTCTCAGGAAATTTGAAGAAATGAAGCAGCTACATTGTGAACAAACGCGTACAGAGGTTAGTTTTAAGCCCCGTTTACACTACGCTAAATTTTTGGTACCGTACCATTTTTTGGTTTTTGGACTACCTAAGTGTAAGCGTAGTGTGAACGGGCTTTAAAATACCTTGACGCTACTTTTATAATTATATGAAAATTTAAGGAACAGTTTTAAATGTCAACTTTGTCAAGAACATTCCCTTGACTTGTCGAGAAGTTTTATATGTTTTAAAGTAGGAAGACAAGTGACAATCAAATATTTTTTAATCCAAATTAACGATGACTCAATATGTTATTTTAATTCATATAATTATAAAAGTAGCGTCAAGGTATTTTATAACTAACGTTATGTTCCTTTATATATTCACTTATTTGTATAACCTTTTGTTCACAATGTAGCTGCTTCATTTCTTCAAATTTTCTGAGAATATTCGTCCAGTAACAGTAATTCTTGTATATTTTGAACTGATTTTGTATCAAAGTAGCAAAACGAGCTCGTGTTGATAAACAAAGTCTGAGGCTCTCCACTCCTTCAGAGTTGTAAATCCCGTTTCGCGGCGTTATAAAGCCATAATACTCCAAATTTTTTGCTCAAAATTCTTCTTGTATGCTTCTATCTTTGTGATTGTAAAATTGGCCGGGTCAGAAACGTAGCCAAGGCAAAAACGCGAAAAACTACCATCTGTAATACAAATATATACAAAAGTGGGACCCTTGAATCGGGTGGCGGCCGGTGACTTCCGGCTTCACTTTTGTATACTATAGATGCGTTATCCAGTCTTAGTACAGATCAGTGGTCATGTGTTATTCAACTTTTGAATGTGTTTCATAATCTTGATCCTGGCAATGAAATGATCTTCTTTATTTTGATTTTGCTAAAGCTTTTGACTCCGTATCTCACAGCAAACTCTTGTTAAAACTGAAATCGCTTGGAATTTCCGGTCAACTTCTTAACTGCTTCGCTGATTAACTCCATGATCGGAAACAGCATGTCGTTATCGAAGGAGTTTCTTCATCTTTCCTTAACGTTAAGTCTGGTGTGCCGCAAGGTAGTGTCATAGGTCCACTTCTTTTCATTTTCTACGTGAATGATCTTCCAGAGGTAACTAAGAATACAACTGCTGCACGTTTTGCTGATGACAGTAATTAAATATTACCGTGCAATTCAGTCACCAGCCGATCGAGATCTCCTACAGACTGATCTTGACTCTACGCACAACTGGTCAATCTCTTGGCAATTGAAATTTAATGTATCTAAGATGCTCTTGCTCAGGTTATCTCAGAAACGCAACTTTTCAACTCACTCGTACCACCTTAAGAATTAACCTGTCAAGATTGTAGCCAATCAAGTCGACCTGGGTGTGGTTGCGAGCAATGACCTTGAGTAGTCCCCTTATATGATTGCCAGCTATAGCTACTGCTAAAGCCAACCGTTTGCTTGGTTTTCTTCACAGAAATTGTTCGCAACCATTTAATTTGAAAGCTAAAATCCTGATCTTTATAAAGGAAAAGAAAACCTATTGACGTATTAATTAACGCGCGATAACATGTCAAACATGTTTATACACCCTGTATTCTTTGTTTGCAATCACGTGACTTTTCAACCAAATAACGGGCAATCAAACAACTTGTGGACGATTTTTCTCCTTTCAGAATGGTTGTAGCAAGAGAAACTGAACGGTAATTCATCTTTTGAGTCTTAAACTGTCTCTAAACTCGATCAATACATTAAAATAGACGTTTTTTGCTATACCTGCCCGTCAACTGAAATCCCAAAATCACAAATACTAATTCTCTTTACCCCCACCACTTCACAAATTGAAAAACTATGCGATATAGAGCATGCAAATACTCAGTTATTCTCTAAGAATGAGATAACAACTCGTAATAACTCACAATTACACAACTATATGGTTTAATGATAGTCAATTTTACGATTATTCATAATTTTGAAACCGTATTATTTTTACAAAGAAATACAAATTACAAACTGTACGTGACCGAACCTTTATCCTGTCTGTATTCCTTTTAATGTGGAGCAGTCTGTGGGTTAATAAAGAATAATGGATGCTATGTTTGCATGTCACGAATCGGTCGTTAAACCTGTCATTATTTTTGAATGGCTTTATTCATTTCTGTCACGGAAATCCGTTTTTTTCTTTTAAATTTTGTTACTTGTCTTTCATAATACAAATATTCGCTACATGTCTTTCATACATTGCACATGCATGCATTACCACAAATTCAAGGTATTTGAGTTTGGTAATAATAAAGTCATGAAACAACAGAATACCACTATATACATCATATTTGCGTTAATAACATAATGAGTATAATATTATATGACTATAATAAAGCAATTGCCGGTAATGAATTAGCATGTACACGAGTCATTATTAAATGGCTTTATGGGAACTATATGCTTCATTGCATAATTATGTAAATATGCATGTTGCAGACAAAGATGACATTACAACACGAAGACAATCATTATAGCCCTCGAAGTCGAACTAAAGAGTGTCGTTCGGTTATTCGTTATTACTCGGACACAATGATCACTGCACAACCTATAGTCGTTCTTCAGAAAATGCCGAGATGATTTATCTAAAGACTGTGGGCAGATGGTAAGTCTATATCCCGATACAATTATAAGATAAATGTAAACAGTATATATATAGGACATCGTGATTGCCATGCCGCAAGTAATCTGAAAGCACGAGGCGGTTAGCGGCTGTATTCGTCGATTACCGTTTGTCTGATCATTTTTTGTTTTTACTATATACATCACAATTCTGGGAACAAGTTCCATAACTGATACTTCAATACCCTTTAACGGGGTTCACGACGTCAGCATGCAACTGGGCAAACACAATCGGTCATGGCAATGATGAGAAAAAACACTGTCTCATCGATAATAAGAATACTATGCAGTGTCCCTAGCATAATCATATAATATTGTAATACTCTATTGTATAGTTATTGTGTTTGTCCAATTGGCAACGGATGCGGCCGCGAACCGGCCCGAAAAGCTGGGAAAGGTGTATCTGATAATCTTGAATTTCTGCCGCTGCAATGTCAACATATATCACACAAATTTAATGTAGAACATGCTACATCCTAATCCTAGATCATAACTACCTACGAAGAGGTTCAAACTGTACTCATAAATTTGCTTTTGTTCTGAATAGTACGTGTTGGCTTTCGATTTGGGTGACAATTACGACTACGAGATTCCAGGCGTTGTTTGCATATTCTCGCCGGCTTCTGATTCAACCACGGCAAAGGTTGCATTGAGTGATTAGTGTGATTCTATTGAGTATTGAATTCTTACACCTTTTGTACAATTACAGTCAGTACGGAACTAATTTCTATACTCGCTGGTGAAGCGAAATTTGTTTTCGCAAAGCCTAATTTTTTCTTTACTGCATGCGCATGCACTTAATTCAGTAGTCGTGCGAAATGTTTCGTAAGCGCTCGTGGAATCAGACCTTAAGTCTTAACGCCATTCCATCACGCACGGCGTAATCTCGTAGTATAGATGCTTTCTTCAAAAATCCCGTTGTCAATACTGTTGGCCATACACGGCGGCTACAAGATTTGCAAGGTGTCAGTATATACAAGCATGCATGGCGTATATATTAATATATATACCTGTATATATCAAATGTTTTGTTATTGCAGTATATTGAAGAGTGCTCGACACAAAAATTTGTAGACGGCAATATTTATGGTGTACGCGCGTATCCAAATATACGATATTATAGTCAAATTTATTATAGCTATATTCGTCAGTCGAATATACTCGTGAGTCGTTGTCAAAACTGTCAAATCTATTATTTATTCACAAAACATTCTTGGAACAAAAGTACAGAGGGCAACGGCTTCACAAACAGAGTAATGCTTTTTGTTTTTCTCAATGGAAAACTATATACCGGCAGGTGCATGTCCCGCAGAGGACAAAGCTAGGACCCTGTTTTTTTAGGCATGACAAATGAGTTCGACTTTGCTGGCGACGTGAGTCTTTGGAAATACGTTGGCGACTCAACTATGTCTGAATAGTAAATAAAGATCATGAATCAAGTGCAATCCAAGATTATCAGTTAATGATTCGCCTCGAAGTCTGCGAGTGATGGTTTGCACTTAAAAGAATCTAAACGTAAAGAACTTCGTATTAGCTTTTCAACTACGAACGCCGATTTCGACTAACCTTGTCATTGGCAATGACAGTTTTTCTCGTGCGCAAAAGTGCTAAGGCTATCCGTCTTAAATGGAAAGAACGTATGCAAAACGGTTTTAGCTTTGCTTACATTTTTTGAGACAATTGAAACAAGCTAAATTACCACCAAAGGACTCTTCTTTTCTTCCATATCATAAGCGTTGCAGGATAATTTTTTTCAGAGTTGCAGGATATAATTTTTCCTGAACATCGGTATGAAGATGCACTTAATGAACTATATGTCTAATTATATGTCACTATTCGACCGAAGACAAAACCTGACAACTAAACATTTTGAAAACATTCGTTATGAATGATCCACAAAACAAATTGCATCATTTTTTTATCGCCATTATAAATTATAAACTGTTCTGTGGTGTCTCTAAGAGAAAGAAGAACGTACGTTTCAAGTCCCGAACTGCAAAACGATAAGATTTAAAAACATTTTATTAATTGTAATTCTACGGCAACATATACCCAATGTGTTTTTATTACGATTGTTAAATACCCCTGTAAAAGCAGGTTGTACGTTATTCAGTCGAAGTATAGTTATTACTATGCCTATATGCATGGCTAGTGGGAGGTACAATTTTAATTGTAATAACTTAAAAGTTATTAAATCATCTATCTGACCTCTTCCCATGCATGCATGTTCAAAATAATTTTTAAGAGGTTAATAGTTAACATTAACGTACACCGCCCATAAGTGTTCAGAAATTATACATACCATGGCACAAAGAGTGTTTCATATATAGTATGTCGTGCCACTCGTATGTCACGTGCTGTGTCCTGAGTAATTAAAAGTCGTGGGTCGCAAAAAATGCACTAAAATCACGCATTTTTGTGAAACGATTCAGTATTGTTCACTTAAATCATGGATCATAAAAATACAACGAAAACATCACGCATGATGTTTTCGGCGTACTGCACGAGATGTCGTCTCAATTTCAGTGTTGAAATTATTCAGGTTTAGCAATAATACAGAGTATTTTAGTAAAAAATCTTAAGAATACATTCATGCTACTTTACGCTGGAATTTTGTTGATCATTTTCAGCCAGAACATATTCAACAAATTTCAATTATATCAACAGATTTTTTGTGATGTCAATTCATGATTATAAAAAATTTAAAACAAAGATGAACAACATTTACCTTCGATCAACACTTTGGCTTGGTACAGGTTTTAAAAGACAATGAAACCATCATGAATCTCAACATAGCTATACTTGAATGCGATAAGTATAGGAAACTACAGCAAAGAAAAACGCAGTACGTATAGACACAGGATAGAGACATATAGAAGGTCGACTATATGATTTTGGCGTTAACCGTTGCAATACCACAGATTAATTAATATACAGAGGTCAGTTGGGCTTAGTGGGCTAGGACCATATGGCTAGGACCACGGCAGCAGCATTTTGATGACAAATCATTGCGGTGTGGCAGCGGTTACGCTTTTTTGGCTGAGTTGACCTTTGTGCGTCTTTATTCTGTATGTGACGTAGAATTAATTACATACTTTATTCGTTGTCGATGACATCACAAATTTCAAAAAGGTCACGTCTCTTCGCGTCAGCCGTTTCCAATCTTCCTATCCATTTTTTCTATCCAAATTCCTACCTGATTACAATTAACTATTACATTAATTATTATATTAACTATATACAAGTACAGAGACAGAACCGACATAATGCAAAGGGCTCGTCACGAGAAAATAACATGCCCTAAAACGACTGAATCTTCGTCGATAACTGTTATTTATGAATGACATTTCTTAATTAATTAACATTTCTGTATAGGATAAACAGCATCCGAGGGCATTATCTGACATAAATGGCATAAATCGAGCCGGTTTATCGTGCTTAATTTATTCATGATTGAGGCTGAACAAAGTTTTGTCTGTTTCGTCTGCTTTGAATGACGATTTTTTGAGCTTTCATATTTTCAGCTAATTAATATTCAAGGTAATTATCGCTGGCCACCTCCAAATCACCTAGTCCCAGTCTTCTCGTGTGAAATAATAAAAAATATTAAATATTATAATAAAAAAATTATAAAAATAGAAGGCCTAGGTTTAGGCTAATCACCTCGGTACATCAAAGAAAACCGACTCATTCATGAATTAAGATATTTGCTCTTATTTTGATCGGATTCCGACGCATGTTTGTTTATTACAAAACAGCAAATTCATTCGTCATGTATTTTAATAATCCTGCCTAAGATTCAGACGCATTCCGGCATTACGAATTTTATATTGCGATAAACCTTGACGTTTATCAGGGCTTTTCGTAAGATGTTAGCCGCGGCACTTTAAGTGATCTGGTGAATGTCAATCCATGAAGATGTGGTAGGCTGGTAGCTATCAGCTATTTGAGTATACCATAGTTGCTATCTGAAAATTATTTACCTGTACATGAGTAACATAACGTATTAACGTTGGGGAGCATCCCCCTACAAAACAAAAAGCCTCTCCGACGGCAGGAGGCAGGGAGATCCTGTTATTATGTTATATATTCCTATCTTATAGGAAACAAATTGAAATAGAAAGGACACAACGCATTGAGACCATTCTCACCATTATCCAAAAAGTCAACTTTAGGAATATATCATATTATTATATATGCCCAATTAACTCGCTCCTACGTAACGGGTGAAGTCATTTGGCATGAGCGGGCTCCAGTTGTCATCGATGCCAGTTGCTCATGAGAGTAAGATAGATGCGTATATAAGCTTGAAAGTTACTTGTCCATCATCATATCATGAAATCTGTTGTAGTATACTTTTTCAAAATAAAGGGCTGAGAGATTGTTCTCGGAGGAGCCGTCACACCATCACGAGTTGCGCTCATGGTAACTCGGTTTCTTCTGCGATCTATATTCTTAGTACTCATCGCCATATTTTTTTTTTTTTGTATGACAGAAATAATTAATACTTCATTTAGAGTAAATTCCTGAAAAACAACTTTGAAGAATTGAAAAACACACAAAAATGAATGGTACCGTTGGTTCATACGAGAACTTATCTCGGAAAACAAGTCGACATAGTAATGATGAATTGAAAGTTTACCAAGAAATGATGGCAGAAAGCATGTTAAGTAAGTGAAGACAATGGAAACAAAACATTAGAGTAATGTTGTAGAAAGTCTTAGCGCTTTACTATGTAACAACAGGAAATGTTGGTTATACTTTCAGTGCTAGTAAAGAGAGTCTCCCAGGGGTTTTTCCCTTAGTAAAGAATTATGTAATAAGTTTATTATTCCTTTCCCAAGACCTTTTACCCCAAGCCACCGTCTCTCACCTCGTAATTTCTCGCGCATGGAGTTAGTTCTTTTGTTCGTTCTTTAATTTCTGTTGAGAAGGTAGCCCTGCCTTGCAGTTGCATCATTATTTCCTTGTTCGAATTCTGTTTCAGGCGGGGGATCGTCATCGCACGTAAACGAGGCTCTTCACGCTGTAGTGGAGAACAAGTTACATGAAACTGCACTGTCGGAAAGTAACAACAGTGTGTTGGAAAGAAATCGTGCTCTACTTCAATACATTGCAACATTAGCGAACTCGAACAAAAAGAATGATCATTTTAACTATGAATTCGTGGAATCTCTAATTAAAGGTGGCGCTAATATCAACATTGCTGATCAACATGGACAATCAATATTTCACGAGGTTGCACGATCTTGGAATGTTGATGTTGTAAAATTTCTTCTGGAGCATGGTGAGTAGTACAGTATAAAACCACTAGTGCATTTATGATACATGCCTGCAAGATATGCTGCATGGCTTGCTACTCTGGCTTATATAAGTACGAATGGTTTGTGCCAGTCTAGGTAGGGGCGATAACAAAACAGCTGCGAATTGAGAGAGAAACAACTAACTTAAAAATACAAGCAGAACTTCGACGTTTCGGACGAGTCGAATTTTTCAAGTAGTTGTATCTCTCTCAACCCGCAGCTGTCCCCTGACTTATATGTAACAAATGAAATCCTTCAATGATTGATTTAATTCGTTGGATTAATGTATATTAAACCAGAGAAGCAAGCGAAATAGCGAAATAATGTCTGATGTGTACATGGTTGTCGTATACACTTCCATTATGCTAAAGGCTGGTATTAGTCGGGAGTTTTTTACGCATGTATACGCATAAAATCAATTTAATTTTGCTGGTGCTGTTTATGCCTATGTACATGCACCATGTGCTGTAGTGCTGCACTGACTTAAGGACTTTTCCAATCTGCGGAAAGCACTGCGTCACAAAATTATGAGAGCAAAATGATGTACTTTTTAATTGCAAAAATTCGTGACTGTCCCAATTACCAGATTAAAAAAGTGGCATGTCAATGCGTATTATGAATTGCGACCGGCTTTACATCAGTTCTGCTGCAATTGCATTTACACTTTATTCCGGGTTTTGACCATGTACTGTATTTGAGACTGACAATCTCGATTCTCTAGATTTATATAAATTCACCAAAACAATTCATAATAAACTAGCATCATAAACAGGTGCAGAAATAAACAAGCAAGACAGTTTTGGTCGAACACCTCTACACGTCGCAGTCTCAGTGGACTTTGCTTCAATGGTGGAATTTCTGTTACAAAATGATGCAGATATTGATGCCAGAACATCGGGTGAATTACAAGGTCCAATTCATTATGCGGCAAAGAATGGTGCTGCTAAGTCGCTCAAGCTGTTGCTGGGATATCAAGCGAATATTGACTCGCTAGATTACAGGCAGCGAACCCCATTACAAGTAAGTACATTCCTGTGAATTCTACTTGAAGGATATATATAGGATATATATTGATTATCGATATTTCAGTTTGTTACAAGGTTGATAAAAGCACCAAACTTTCTTCAAACCTTCAACTGGTTATCACAAAGAAAAAAATGACAATTTTTTAAATTTCAACTACAGCAAAATGGCTAGCAAGAACGTACGAAAAGTAGCCTAATAATATATTTCGCCCCTTCATACGTCTTACTGATCATGACTAATTGAACATTTAAATTCTTAGATATAATGGAACTGCGCATGCGGCATGACAATGCGCATTGGGTCATTCCAGAAAACATCCATACCACCCCCACGGAGGAAATTTGACGTTAACCCCCCTACCCCCTTCGGATGTCCTAATACATTTACCATTATCAGAAACAATTTTATCTCCCCTTCCCCTCCGGACGGCAGAAATTTCCTCCGTGGGGGGAGTGTGGATCTTTTATGGAACGACCCATTATGAATTTTCTGAACTTTCAATCGTTAAGAGTGAACTTCAAGGTATATCTTGAAAGTATAGAAAACTTGCATTACAGCTTTAACAATAGTTAGTGTACAGCGAGTACTGTTGCTAATCTAACTCAAAACGTGGCAGACCATCAGGGTTACATTTTGGCTTATTACGCAGGTTTAGTCCTTTGTTGGATCGTTTCGGCCGAGAACGTAAGCCGCAAAGAAACAACAAAAAGCATCAACTAGCCAGGAACGTAAACGAGAGAAAGTAGGTAGGGGAAAATTTAGGTCTGACGGTCAATGTCAGATTATTTTTTTTCTGTGCATAGCTCTGGGCAGAAAGAGTTTTTCTATCAGTTTAAAGTTGCTTTCTAGTCATGTTTTTCGACGTACGTACACGTGTGGATACACACATTCTTACATATGTTAATAAAAGTTTAGCCGTAAATTTATTTCTAAAGTTACACCTTTTCCCACGCATTACCATGTGGAAAAACACCAGTATTAAGGACGCAACATTTAACCATGTCTTTCATTATTTCTGCAGCTGGCTGCGGAATGGTCACGTGATAAGACAGCAAAAATATTGATTGACGAAGGTGCATCCTCATGTCTGCTCGATACATCCGGAAATTCAGCCTTGTCAGTTCTTATCGACAAACTACCACATCTCTCATTGGAAGCTCTCAATCAACTGCACATGACAGATATCATAACAATGAAGGAGTTTTACTACATAAATTTCCTTGAGGCATCTCGTATGAAACTTGAAACAAAGAAAACCCGAACTCCTCTTGAAACTGCTGTTGTAACAAGAAAGTTTGAAGTGGTTTCTCACCCAGTCATGCAACGCTTGATTCATAATAAATGGATGTATTTTGGAAGAACGGCGACAATTTTGGATTTATGTTTTTATATAGTATTTAATATACTGTGGACAGCAATGTCGATGCTAACTCCTCCCACTGGTCAAGAATTATACGAACCATTAAGTCAAAACATTTGGCGAGTCGTGCTAATGTTTGTTATTGGAATCATGATTATTTATCAAGTCGGAAGGCAAGTTAGAGGTAGGTTTTATATATTCTTTGAAGTCTTTCATGTCCAAATTGTTTTCCAGTGAGCGGTTACAGTTTAATACTGCCTCGTTCCCTTTATTGGGATGTTGCATTTAAAAGATACTTTACATGTGTTTTAGACAGACCTGCTGGAAAAATGATTTATTTCTAATATATAATAATAGCCGCATGCCGTCAGGGAGTCAAGAATACATTTTTCTTTTAGCCATCGTGTGTCATCCTGGTTGGAAGTAAGTTTCGGACTTTCAAATCATCGTCAGTGTCACTGTCATTTACTCAGTGAAGTTCAAAAGTGAAGGGGAAAGGGAGGGGGAGGGGAAGAACAGAACATTTCAATACAAGCAAAACATTTCTGAAAACGATGCATACAGCCAGAAGGTGGCAGAAAAATACAAGATGCACATTACTTCCCCCTTCACATTTCTAATGGGCCGTCACTTCTATTTTTTGACAATTACTGAACAAAATTTAGTAATACTATACTCTCAACTCCGTTCTCAACCATATTCTCAATCATGGTCTATAACAAATCCTGCATTCTGATTGGCTACTTAAACATGGACCATTACGTGAGGAACCAGGGTTGAGAGAAAAGAAGGTTTCAAAATCTTGTAATGGCTTTGGTCATGTTTTATAAAAAATCCTTTATATTTTTGCACAGCAACCTTGAAGACTGTTAGAGCAAAATCCCACTGGATCAAATGGCAGACTGAGAAACTACAAGAAGATCTAACACACTGCCATCCACGATGGCCTCAGGAAGCAAAAGCAATAAAGTACGAAATCAAAAGAATTAATAAACTGAAAGGATTCAGTGCAGAAGATGCATGGTTTTACTACGATTGGATCGTTTTGATCATCATGATTACTGCACTTGCTCTGCATGTTGTTTACTACAAAGTTGCAAATGATGACATAAGATATGTATATACTAGGATTCTTAGTATTGCCAATCTTGTTGTATCCCTTCGTTTACTTGAAAATATGAGACCATTTCCAGGGATCGGTACCCTTGTCATAATCCTTGGTCAAACTAGTGGTGATTTTATCAACTGGGCATTCTTGTTTATTCTAATTTTCGTTCCATTTTCTGCATCATTCTGGATCATTTTCGGCAGCCTGTCACTGAAACCTGTATTGCATTATGATGAAACTACCGGTTTATTGTACTCTGTCTTCAGAATGGCCGTTGGTGACGATTTCAATTTGGAAGGATTGGTTGAAGCAGAACCTGTTATGGCTCGTATCTTGACAGTTATGTATGTCACAGCAATGACAATTGTCACACTCAATTTACTTATTGCGTTATTATCAGATACCTTTACACGAGTACATGGTAATGCAATAGCGAACACGATCATGCAGAGAGCCATCAGAGTGATTGGAGCCGAACGAGCTTTAACTAAAAAGAAGAAACTGAACTATCGGGAATACATAAAAATGAACTGCAGTCCAGAGATCATTGATAGTGTTGTCGATGTTGCTGCTCCAGAAAGTGTCGCAAGCTCAAAAGAACTAACCACCGACATGACGACATTAAAGCAACTTCTTGATGATAGATTTGCAAAAGTTTACGGAAAGAATAAAGTCTCAGATTTTGATAAACTTAAAAATGATATCAGCGAGATAAAAGAGCAGCAGAGAAAGGACTATGATAACTTAACAGCAATACTGAGAATGTTAAAGCGGTTACGAGGTAAACATGGTATAATTATTATTCAGGTGACCCTGACTTACTTTTGTTAAGATTTAAGCAGTGGGAAATACCGTTTAATATGCAGGTTTAAAATTATATTTTTAAATGGTTTCCCCCCTCTTTCGAAGTCTTCAATTTGCGATCGTCCTTGTCGCCAGTAGTGGACACAAGGGGGTGGGGGGATGGGCGTGGGCAACTACCACCAATAATTTCTGAAAGCTTTTAATAGTGGCTGAATAATCAACCGTGTAGCAAAGCTGTTACGATACTTTTACAATCATGAAAGTATTGGTAAGTTGACACCTCATCATTTGCTATACTTATCATGCAAATGGACCATATATTACATACATTTACATATATGATTGTGCTGATTGTGTATTATATTACAGGTGGCGGGCCAGACGACAAAGTTCCAGGAAGTTCCTCGCCAAATAAGCAAAGAGAAACGAAAGTCCAAATTCCAGGTTTAAGTATTTTCAGAGAAAGCATCCACTGGCTTTCAGACGGAGATGAACGTGGAGACAAGCGGAAAAAGAAACGACTACAAGAAGATGACAAACACAGAAAAGGTGTACATAAAAGAAAAGATAAAAAACGTGAAAGAAAAAGTGACATTCCAGAAACTTCAATCGTTCCTTATCGTGCGGCAAATTCTGGTGATCGTACAGAGAATACTAATCTTCTGAATGGCGAACAATCTCAAGGAAATCCCGCAGATGACCTCGAGGGCTGGGATACAGTTAGCATAGATAGTATTACTTTGTAGATTGCGGTCAGCTTGACACTTTTGTTATATATTCACATTATATATTCATTTTCAGATTTACTTACTATAGTGGCGGACGAGCGGCGATGGCGTGTGCCCTCTATTTAAATGCTATTTACAGACCATAAGTTTAAAAGCTGTAGCAGTTATATCATGGATGTTCCTTCGGTTATATTCTCATCTTGTGATTGGAGTTCTGATAAAAATGAGATACAGTAATACGTGCACAAATGATGAGGATTTTACGGCGTTTCTATTGGCTTGATAGACTTTGATAGGGTATTAAGCAAAATCGTATTAAATAATAACCGAATAATTTTCAAATATAATAAATGGTATATTTTAGTCTTCTGACACAATATATGTATTTTTATCTTATTAATTAACTTCATAGAGACAGTAGATCCTTTGAATTGGATTGAATTGTACGTATTACATGTAGGTTATAGGTAGAAGCGGCACGGGACGCTCGGTTATAAGTATAGTTATAGGTAGAAGCGGCACGGGACGCTGAAGTGCCACGGGACCAAAAGTCTTAGTCTTAGTCCACAATAAATTAACTTAAGAACAACTAGTACTTACCTGTGTACTGAGGGATGTTGTAAAACATGGACTGGGGCCCTAGGCTGACTGGACTCGCAAAACATGGACTCAGTCAGCGCGATTTGTGAAACATGGACTCACTGATACTGCGATTTGGAAAACGTGAACTGAGTCCTCGTTTTGTAAAACATGGCTGAGTCCACGTTTTACCACAGAGAGCCCAAGCGTTGATCTGTGTTAGTGTTGTATGTTTTTCAGTTTATTTATTTTAGTGTCTTTATATTGCCTTTTAATTGAATCATAACACTAAGTTACAGTAATATGTCATATAATAATGATACTCGATCCTATAGTCGAACATTTAATAACAACATATAAGTTGATTTGTTCATTTGTATTTGTATGTTTTTCAGTTTATTTATTTAAGATCTATTATTAGCTAAAATAAAAGCACCGCCTTTCGAACCTGACAGCCCGTTTTTTATTTTGCCGCCTCCTATTTCAAATCCCGCGCGTCTCCCACGCGCGTATCCTGTGAACGGGCTGTCAGGTTCGAAAGGCGGTGCTTTTATTTTAGCTAATAATAGATCTTAAATAAATAAACTGAAAAACATCAGTACAAATACAAATCAACTTATATGTTGTTATTATATGTTCGGCTATAGGAGTATTATTATTATATGACATATTAGTGTAATTTAGTGTTATAATTCAATTAAAAGGCAATATAAAGTCACTAAAATAAATAAACTGAAAAACACACAACACTAACACAGATCAACGCTTAGGCTCCCTGTGGTTTTACGGAAACCATGTAAACATTTAATTCAAATAATATTTTCGAGTTTGGGTCAGTTTTAATTAAGGCCCGTTTCCCCTTGCAATTTTTGCTGCGATTTTAGGTACGATTTTCTTCTCCTGATGTATATGAATGAGTGGATGAGTTAGGAATGTTTAGTGAGGGAACATATCCTCAGAGCATTCATAATTTTATATTTACTCGTTCACATCCATCAGAAGAAGAAAATCACACTAGAAATCGCAGCAAAAATTGCAAGTGTAAACGGGCCTTTACTAACAGAGTGTTTGCGCGACTGAATACGCAGCTTCACACCATAGTTGTTTTTGTTTGTGTTTCGTTGTTTCCCAATGAGGGCTAATGAAACAGGAAGTTAGTAACTTTTTAAGGAACTTATCAAATTGTTGAGGAATTGTGCAGAGGCGTTCCTTCAAGTTAGGAAATGAATTGGTCAACATTTTTCGGAACACTTCTATATATTGGCACGACTGTAAATGTAAATTGGCGTGAGCCACCTAGATGAGCTTATATCGCTCTTGGGGCGAACACATAATTATGTTTAAATAAAAAAAAATTGTAGGCGCTCCAATTATACACCCTCACTTGAACTATTTCTATATTTAAAGTTGATCACTACGAAGTGCTACGACGCTTTTTAATAATTTGGTTTATTCCGGCTTCATTCAAACTATTTCTAATTAAAATTAATCACTATACAACACTTTTAATTATAGACTATAGTTTAATTTTATTCCTCATTCGATCTATTTCCTGATATTTTCAAAGTTATTAAATCACTATAACGCTCTTAATTTGTTTTATTCTTCATTTAGGCTAATTCCCACATTATTCTCAAACTTATTATTTCTAATTCATAAGGAAAACAAACCGACAAACGTATAAATCAGCATCGGCATTGTTGTCTCGAAGTTCTCGATACCATGAATTAAAACGTCCATATTGATTATTGGCATATAACGTAGTCAACCTACACTCAAACAAAGGCACTTACTGTTTGTAGCTTGGCCAGCAACTGTACATGCAACACAATAGATGATTCCAGCTATACTATGTCTATAGACTAAATTTGGATCCAGACAAGAAGGACGAAATCATTATATATAGGCTATAGCTTATATAGCTTAAAAGAACATCGATCTTAAATTAGTAAAATTGCCAAATTTGGTTGCGAAATGTTGTAAAATACGGAATAGCCCTGTGAAGTTTGCAAATTTTGAGTATTTTGGTATTATGCACGGAAAAATGCATCATTTTGAGCCGGAAGTGGTGCATATTTCCGCGCGTAATACTAAAATACAGTCAAAATTTGCTAATTTCACAGGGCTATATTTTTCGTATTTTACAACATTTCGCAACCAAACGTTGCCATTTTACTAATTTTAGGATGCTCTTTTAAGCTATAATGATAGATTTCGTCTTTCTTGTCCAGATAAAAAATTAGTCGATAGCTGGAATCATCCATTACTTAACAATTATTCGCCGAAGGCGAGGTGATTATCGGTGAATAAAAACCGAGACGAAGTCGAGGTTTTTATTCACGATAATCACCGAGCCTGAGGTGAATAATTGTTTTAGTATAATTTCATAGGTGATTATTTGGAAAAAAATAAGAAAATACAAATTTCTTCGTCATTTAATTGACAAAAAGGCTTCGGCCGCCATTTTGAAAATCGCTTAGGTGATTATCGCGTAATAATCACCTCAACGGCAACCAATCAGCGTGGAGAATTTTCAATAATCACCTATGTAATTATACTAAACACACTTATCATTAACATTGGTCACGGAATCCAAGTTATAGCACTGACATAATGATAATTCACTTAAATAACCAAAGTTTAGATCATGGATAATAAAAACACTGCAGATAGGAAATTCATGACCACGCATGATGTTTTCAGCGTGCTGGTTGCGTCTCAACCTTGTTGAACTGAAATTATGACATCACTAAATCAAACATAATCGCGGCACGTTTAGCAATAATACAGCTGGTCGTTTTAGTATTAACAAACCTATAAGAATACAACCACATGCCATTCTCGGCAATTTCTTGATTACGCTGGAAAGTGAAAAAACTAAAACAAACAACATGTACCTCGAATACTTTGCCGTGGCAAAGACAGGTTTAAAAGACATTAAAATGACATTTGAATCTTGATATAGATCATATAGCTAATAATACATGCGAAAAATATATAGGAAAACGGAAGAAAAACGCACAGCAGTAAACATTATTTGTTGTATCTGTGACATGATGACATCACGAATTTCAAATAGGTCACGTCTGCTGGTGTCAGCACAGGAGCCCACGCCGGGTCTTATTATAGCATTCAGCATATCGAAATATATAGTTCAGTTACAGAAGAGAGACCTTACAGAAGGCCGACTTCTTCGTTTTGCCTATGATTTTGGCGTAATCGTTGCAATGCTGTCGCTTAGTGCGCTTGTGAGAAGCATTCACCCCCCCCTGAAAATATGGGGACGTTCAGGGGGTGAATGCCTCTCATAAGGGGAGTCTATTATAGGGGATTGGTCGCTCCGCAAACCGTCCTATTTTTGTCTCCTTCACCGTTAATCGCCCATGTTTTCTTCGTGAAAACCGTAAGCGTCATTTTTCTTAGACAGTAAAAGATTATCGGCCAGGGACTTCGCAACGATCGACGAGAGGACAAAGATAGCAGATTTTCCGTGAGAAACATTTATAATTAACTGCATGCATGATACTGTATATTTTCAGGAATCTTGCCAACGGCAGCTGTAGTTCATGGGGTGTGAGATATGATGTATATGTTTTAAGCGCCTCGCAAGTTGCAGACCCAAATAGAACACATGCAATATCTCTCAAAAGAATTGCAATACTGCACGTAGCTATAACTAACTATTATTGCAAGCTTGTGGGGGGTACAGACATTCTGTCTGTAGGAATTGAAATGTTTTTCCGCCCTTCATTTCTGAACAAAGAAAATTAAAAACAAAACACTTCAGGCGTTTATTATAAAAAAAATACTTGAGCCTTTTATTATGTAAGTATACAGAAGCTATAATATATAGGAAACTTTAGCTTGTATATTGTCAATTCTAAACTCTTCGATTCTCCCTATAAAAGTCCAGTAAGAACTCCGTGTCCTTCATTGGTCGAGTGCATGTGTTACCATGCAGCTACAGGAGGAAACTTTAACTAAACCAACTTTATAAACCAAGAGCGCCTGCATGCTTGCTGCATATAACTTTCTGTACACGTTGGTGAAAAGAATCAACAATATATATATAGTTTGAATTATTTCATCATTTTTGAACCTTTGACGAGTCTGCTACCTTTGAAACTAATATTTTACTCGCTTGTATAATGCCATAATCTTAGATTTATTTCATTTATACATATCAAATGAAACTAAAATATCTCGAGAACGAAAAACGATAAGATAGAAAACTTGTCTAGTGAACTTATTTTACAGTTTAACATGTTCTTTCTGCCTAAAATGCTAACTTAAATTTCGTTGCCATTGCAGTAAACTGTCCTGTTTTCATGGCCCTGCCCATGCATGCATGGACAAATATCACAGAAGAAAAGACTTTGTATATAGAGGCAATTACGTCAAAGCTATAAACAAAGATTTAAAGAACTTTCGAAATTTTTTATTTGCCGTAATTTGGAGATAGAAAGATAGTCGTTCTCAAGCATTTTGTGGGGTTTCTTCCCATGCAATAATTAGTGTATATTGTGCTTTTAAAAGATATTTCGTTATCTTGATAGCATTGTTATAAAGCACAATAAGATCCTTGACCTTGAAGGTTCGCATGGTAAATATAAATATAATTGTTTTGTTTTGCCGGTGGACATGCACGTTCATTTCCGTTTGTCTGGGCTTTGGCGAAGCTTTCAACCCAAGTCCATTCATTGGTGCTATAATAATTTAATATATGCACTGTCACTGGTGAAGATCCACGCAGGCTTGCAGATCGAATTTCAAAGCTATTAATACAAACTATATATATATATATATATATATATATATATATATATATATATATATATATATATATATATATATATATATATATATATATATATATATATATATATATATATATATATATATATATATATATATAGGTTGAATGACATCAAATTGATTTGAGACTGAGTAATTTAAAGGCTTAATTGCAGGAAAAGTACTGGGACAATTTGTGATTACCCCACTCTTTCCGGACATGAAATAATGTTTGTTCCGGTTTCCAAATTCCAAACTGTTTCATGCCTGGGGTAAGTTTTAATGTGAAGAACATATCCTTTGGTTGTAGTAAAATCCTAAATTATTTTATTTCGAACGGCATTAGTTGTTTCATCAGAGCGGTTAACTTACGTTTACAGACGTATCATACAATGTATTCGCGGACAGCAGCTGTTAGTGAATCGATTGGTGCACTTGTCGTCTACAGTTCCGACTATACAAATGCATGGTCAGTATAAAAAAAAAAGCAAAAGCGTGTATATATATATATGGGGCTTCGGTGGCCAAGTGGTTAGCGCACTTGCCTCTCACCTCTGAGGCCGCAGGTTCAGGCCTCAGTGAGAACTTTCTCAATGCGACTCGAACCCAGTCCTCATGTGAAAAGAGTAAAACTGAAAGTCGTGGGTTTTCCCCGGGTACTCCGGTTTCCTCCCACAGAAAAAGTTGACAGGGTGGGCCGTTAGGTAAAGGGGCCCACAGTAATTGGCATATGCTGTTGTGGTGATCCTGCCCTAGTTGGCAAAGCTAAAATAAAATAAAATAAAATAAAATAAAATAAAATAAAATAAAATATGTTATGTTGTGTGATTGTTCATTCCGTAATATGATAAGTTGAAAATGTTCTCGAGTGAGTATATATCATAATTTCCAGACCGCGCGCAGGCAGAAAGATATTGCCTGCTGCGGCTGGGTTTTCTGGAAATTATGATATACTCACTCAATATATAAATATAAATATAAATATAAATATATATATATATATATATATATATATATATATATATATATATATATATATATATATATATATATATATATATATATATATATATATATACAGTACCGTTTCGGCCTTTTGGGCCTCATCAGTGACAGTGTAGTGCTGATGAGCAGGACGAAAGTAACTAGTATTAATAGTTACTTTTGATGCCTCATGAATGTGGGACATCAAACCATTGCCAGAGTGCTCATATATATATATATATATATATATATATATATATATATATATATATATATATATATATATATATATATATATATATATATATATATATACCGGGTGTTCCAAAAAAAACTTGCGGTGTTTAATTTCATGTAATGTAAAAACTATAAATTAAGCTATTGCACTCAAATAAGCTTTATTGTATTGAGGAAAGGCTAACTTAGATTTTGATATACAGCTCTAAAAATTTCATGTAGTATTACGTGAGATACCGAAACGTTTGAATGTGGCGCACGCTTTAAATATGAGTAAAAAAATCGAGAAACATGGCTGATCAAATTTATATGAAAATAAATTGCCATTTTCCACAAAAATTAACAATTTCAATTTCAGCATTTCAACTCAACTTTCATTTCGGGTAATGTCCTAGTATAAGTAAATTGAAGTAAATAAAGTACGGTCGAAAGCCAACCAAATGCTCGGGCTAATTAGACGATCTACCGCGGAGATGACTGTTATCAACGCGAGGAGGCTTCTGTATCTACAACTCGTACGCAGCAATTTTGGTTATGCATCCCAAGTATGGTGCCCACAATCCA